GGAAGGAGGAAGGAAGGAAGGAAGGAAGGAAAGGAAGGGAGGAAGGGAGGAAGGGAGGGAGAAAGAAAGAAAGAAGTAAAGGAAAGGAAGAGGAAAGGGGGATATAGAAACATCGATGAAACAGAAACATGGCTGCCTTCTGCAGGCCCTGCACTGGAGATCGAGCCCACAACCCAGGTATGTGTTCTGCCCAGGAATCGAACCGTGACCTGATTAATAGGTTGACGCTCTACCACTGAGCCACACCGGCGGGCTGCACTCTTGCACATCTGGATCACTGCCTTTGATGCGAATTTTGGTTCCTCCCTCTGCTTTTGTGGGTCCTTTTCAGTCAGACTTTCAGACTTTCCCGCTTACCTAGAACTATCATCCACCTACTTGTTTCTCCAACTATTTGTCACTGACAGCTTAACAGCTCATCCTATTTTTCTTTCTGTCAGCCAACATCATCGTATTGTCTAAGAATTTTTATTGTTTCATGTGTTTTTACTTTCTATTCTGTTTTTCTTCTAATTATGATGAATAAACGTAATGAAGTCTATATATTTAACATAACCTATAATGACAACAAAAAATAACCTCTCTCCAAAAAACATAATTCTGAGGGAATTGCTTTTAAAATCAAGAAATAGATGACTAGCCATTCTTTATTCATTCAGCAAACATAAAGTGCTAATTATGTGCCCAGCAGCATTCTGGGAGGGAAATCCTTCTGTGGCCCACAGTAGTTGCCCTCAGCAATATCACTGCATCAAATGGAGGGGAGAAAGGGGGAATGGTAATATGATCGCTAAAATGCAGATGGAAGTGTGTCTTCATTGAACCTCTTTGGGCTGTAAGTTAATAGATCTGATGACTGCATTTTGTATCTCTTTATCTCTTTATAACCCCCTATGGCCCTCTCCCCTGCCTCCTTTAACTGAAATGGACTTTCTGAGAATTCTATCTAGAATTGGCATTCTGTGATAGATTTATTTTACTCAGAGGCAATTCATGTAACTGATGCATTGACTGAAATATGCAAACATTTTAATCCTGCGTGATAGGTTTTAAAAAAAATAAAATAAAAACTACCACACCGTTTCTTTATTTTCTTATAACATCACTTGCAAATTAGTTAGTTGCAAAGTAAGTGATCATAAAATTTTTTAAAAAGTAAACCTGTTGAAAGCACATGCCCCCTCAGAGAAAGGTTCATTTTTTAAACGTAGCTCTTGATTTCTGAAATGCTTTTTTCCTATTTAGTTTTTTTAAAATTTATCATTATTGTTGAAAATATTACAGATGCCCCCGCCCCCCTTTTAAATTTTATTTAAAATGACGTTTGAATGATCATGACCATTTTGGAAGAGATTAAAGATTAAGTTTAACTGATTGGCTTGCTTTAGAGTCATATTAGCCACTAATGAAAACCTTCTTTTTTTTCCTTTAAGTGTTGTGGATGCATTTAGAAAAAAAGAGTATGAGGCAGCAGTTAAAATCCAGAGCTGGTTTCGAGGATGTCAAGTTCGGACGTATATCAGGTATATTGATTTTGTCATTGAAAATTCAGATATACCATAAAAATATACTCCTTACAAAATGTAACTTATGCATATAGTGCTCACTTCAAGTAATCTTTTATGTTACTGTAATGAAGCTTAATGAATTATATAATGTCCTTTTTTAAAAATATATTTTATTGATTTTCTACAGAGAGGAAGGGAGAGGGATGGAGAGTTAGAAGCATGGATGAGAGGGAAACATCGATCAGCTGCCTCCTGCACACTCCCTACTGGGGATGTGCCCACAACCAAGGTACATGCCCTTGACCGGAATCGAACCTGGGACCCTTGCATCCGCAGGCCGAGGCTCTATCCACTGAGCCAAACTGGTTAGGGCTATAATGTTCTTTTTAAAAATATAAATATTTTGGTCATTTTTCCTACATATCAGAAAACTAAATTATATTGAGGAACCAAAATTCGCATCAAAGGCAGTGATCCAGATGTGCAAGAGTGCAGCCTGCCTGTGTGGCTCAGTGGTCATTTCTTGACTTGCAACTATTCTCAATATTGTAAACATACTTGACAAAATTCTTCAAATTCCACTGGATGTCACAAATGACTGGTATTAATAACAATTAATTCATTGACTGGTAAGAAAGAAGAAAAACGAAACAAAAAGAACGCTATTCCAATTTTTTCCAACAAGTTGGTAAATGATACCAGAACGATACCATTCCTATTGCAAAGGGATTGAAGTTGATCCTTAACTGGTCCACTTTTTCTTCAATGCTCAAACTGTCCTTCAGCTTCCCTTCCATCCTGAAAAAAAATATTTTCCTACATAAGGTGAAGCACCAATATGCCTCATCAGTAATAATTCAGAATGCAGGCTGGAGATCATACTGTGTATGTCCTTAAGTTATTAGCTAGTAGGAACCAGACATGCAAATTAAAGTGTGATGTTTTCCTGGCCGGTGTGGCTCAGTGGTTGAGCATTGCCCCATGAACCAGGAGGTCATGGTTCAATTCCAGGTCAGGCCACATGCCTGGGTTGCAGGCTGGATCCCCAGTAGGGGGCATGCAGGAGGCAGTAGATCAATGGTTCTCTCTCATCATTGATGCTTCTACCTCTCTCTCCCTCTCACTTCCTCTCTGAAATCAGTAAAAATATATCTTAAAATGTGAAGTTTTCATCTTTGATCACAGTAAACTAGAAACATGGCAGCAAAGAGAGTCTTTTGAATTCAGCAGATGAACACAACATTCACCTGGACAGACTGAGTAATATAAGGAAAGAATAGAGAGGGGAACCATTTCCTGACCTCAAGAATTATTTCTAAATTCTGTGATTCACAGCAACAGTGCCTGGCTTATCTCTCAACATGTCACCATGACTGGTTTTATTGTCTTTGAATTAAACAATATTTTAGAGAGTAAAATATTGAAGAATAATTGAAATTTTAAAGAATTTATTTAATACTGAGTCGTTATCTATACCTTTTTTTTTCCTATTTCTAGAAATTATCAATTATATCCCAAAATGGCAACTCTCCACTTTTTGAAAGTACACATTCACTTGGCTTTGAATTTGATCTTTTGTATTGCAGGAAGGTATATTCTAAGCAGGTTGAAAGAGATACTTTTGTTCCAGTGAAAGCGTATTAATAAGTATATTTTTCCCTCAGGCATTTACACAGAGTTGCAACAGTTATTCAGAAATGGTGGAGAAGTTACTTAGGAAGGAAATGTTATCAACACAAGATAAAGGTAAATATTACACAATTTATATATGGTAGCATGAAAATTATACAATATACCATAACTCATTCACTTCAGTCAGATTTATAGGTAATTTCAAAGTTATTTGTGGTAAATATTTACGTACAAACAAAATTGGATTTAATTTTTAGTGCGAGTCCTCTTCTGAGAGGCCACTCCTGATTTTCCAGTGGAGAAGTGATGACTTGTTTCTTTGCACCCAAACGACACCAGAGGCTTTATTTTGGTTAAAGCACCTTTCACAGAATATATACCTATACGTGCTTATTTGTTGATGATTTTTCTCTACTTTTTAGATGGTGAGTAGACACTGTAGCTTGTTCATTTTTGGATCACCAACATTTAGACTAATCTCTGGCCCTTAACACAGTCAATAAACATCCGCTGAGCCTGGGTGGTGTGGCTCAGTGATTGAGCATCAACCTATGAACCAGGAGGTCACGGTTTGATACCCGGTCAGGGCACATGCCCCAGTTGTGGGCTCGATCCCCAGTGTGGGGCCTGCGGACTGAAAGTTCCCAGGTTCGATTCCGGTCAAGGGCATGTACCTTGGTTTCGGGCACATCCCCAGTAGGAGGTGTGCAGGAGACAGCTGATCGATGTTTCTCTTGCATTGATGTTTCTAACACGATCCCTCTCCCTTCCTCTCTGTAAAAAATCAATAAAATATACTTTTTAAAAAACTTTATTAACATAGTTTCACCTAATTATGAAATGAATTTAGTTTGGCTCACCTGCTTTTAAAGATTCTATTAATAGCAACTGGGAGAAAGAATGTCATTGACTTTTAATTGTTTTGTGTGTGGAAAAATACAAGTTATTTTAAAAATCAGCTGTTGATAATCACCAGGTTGGTATCGGTTGCCAGCAAACAAGGCAAAGCATATGCCACAAATACTCATGATTATTTGGCAATAAATCATTTTAATGATTCTACTCAAAATTACGAAATGAGGGTGACACTGCTGTGGAAAATAATGGAGGCCTGGGCCCATCCGCTCTGGTATCCATATGTGCACGGGCTTTCAAGATTCCACCGCCATCATTCCAGCACAAATATTGTCTCTGGATCACCCTTGCTAGCAAGGAAAGCCGGTTGATCTGGTCAAGTTTGTATAGATATATTACTCAAAATGGTCTCACATATGGTTTTTTGGTGTGGTGTGTGTGTGTGTGTGTGTGTGTGTACTTTAGGGAGTTGAGAATAAATGTGACATCAATTACTGGTTCACACATGACTGACTCATTGGAATCAAAGTGCTCTTCCACCTTTTAACTATACAATTGAGAATCCTGAGGCCTAAAAGTTGTATCTCTCTTTCCTCTTCGCTCAGAATAAAATTGAATCTCTTAGGCCAGTGGTCGGCAAACTGCGGCTTGGCAAACCGCGGCTCGCGAGCCACATGCGGCTCTTTGGCCCCTTGAGTGTGGCTCTCCCACAAAATACCGACTTCTGCGCATGGGCCACGAAGTTTCCATCGCACTGTACGTGCGCGCCCACACGTGGTATTTTGTGGAAGAGCCACACTCAAGGGGCCAAAGAGCCGCATGTGGCTCGCGAGGCGCAGTTTGCCGAACCGGTCTTAAGCAAATTTTGGATTTTATATTTGAAAGTTGGGGGGGAAGGGTTTCTCAAAAAAACCCCGGGGGGGGCCTCCCGTAATGACCATCACACTATCCCAAGCCTCTTTATCCATGTCAGTCTTCACAACAACTCTAGAAAGTAAGGAGAGTCCCATTGTGTGGGGCTGGGAGACAGGCTGGGCGACCTTCAGGCACGTGTTCAGAGCCACAGGCCTCTAAACGCAGCCTCAGGAACGGAACCCGGGTCTGTGGCTGAAAAGCTCCCACACACTCAGGGCTGCCTACTGAACAGCAGTGTGATAAAAATAAGGAACATCTGCCCTGACTGGTTTGGCTCAGTGGATAGAGTGTCGGCCTGCGGACTGAAGGGTCCCAGGTTCGATTCCGGTCAAGGGCATGTACCTGGGTTGCGGGCACATCCCCAGTAGGGAGTGTGCACGAGGCAGCTGATCGATGTTTCTCTCTCATTGATGTTTCTAGCTCTCTGTCCCTCTTCCTTCCTCTCTGTAAAAAATCAATAAAATATATTTTTTAAAAAATAAAAAATAAGGAACATCTTATTCTGAACCCCAATTTTTTTCCAATATGTGAATTCCAATAGGTGTCTCTTGTATAAAAATACTTAATGTTCATATCTGCCTCGATATGCCTTGAAGAAGTAGGATTTTAAAGAAACTACTTGGAATTCACCTCCAATACCAAGAATTATGCCTTGATTGCGAAAACAAAGACGGTGAATTTAGAATGAAGTCCCGCCGCTGTGTTCATTTGTGAATAACATATTGCAGCCAACTGTTCCCTAATTGCCCGGACTGTTGATGAATAAGCCAGCCCTGCTCAGCACAGACAATTTGCTTTGGATCAGACCGGGCAAGGCAAACAACACTAATTACAGCGGAACCCTTTCCTACAAATGCCTATGTGTTGCGGGGCAAGAAAAAAAAATCCCTATGTAAAAAGAGAACGCACTTGTCTCTCATTTTGCCTGACACAGCACCTGTTACCTGGGCTCCAGAAACTATTAGTCGCACGAATTCTGACTGAATAAAAATGGATCATGTTGTATTTCGTGTTGGGAAACACATGCGTATTTTATTCCTTTGCTGTGTATTGCCCTCTCATGACCTTGGTTAATTTTATATTTTTCATTAAAAGATGGGATGGATGGGAAGCTTTATTTCAAGCAGTATTTTCATTGAAATAAGCGATGGTGGCAAATGGGGATTTGCTAGAACAGAGACACGCCTATGAATAGACAGGAGTGTCTCTACCAGAAAGGAACCAAGACTTTCGGAAGCCTTCCCTGTATCAGGGGATTTGCTGTAACGAGATATCATTGTATTTATGGTTTTATGGTGTTAAAATGAATGTTAAACGGAACCGAATTCCCGAGCATTCCTCGGGAGGCAGCTAAGTACAGAGCATTTTGTACAGATGGTTGGAAGGCACAATTTTCCTCCATCGCTGCATCCCCATCCTTGAACGCTTTCGACTGAAGACAGCCTTTCTTTGAATTTTTCATTAAACCAGACGTCTTGAAATATGAATTCCTTTTATGTTTCTGTGAGTTTTGGCTAAGAGAGCCCCAGTGAATAAATCATACAATGCTACGTGTCACCAGCACTTGTGAATATTTCTGCTTTGTTATTCTATTCTCAGTAGAGCTCCATTGATTATCAAACTCAGCGGAGAGCATTTTATGATCATATATCTCCATTAGCGCCTAGTTTGACTACCATAGATTTTTCTGGTTAAGCCTGCATTATGTATTAGGAAGCCTATCTCTTCAATACAAAGTTTGATTTCATTTTTCTAAGCCTCGAGCTCTTATTATGTATTATGTATAAAGATTCTTATCTTTTATATGTAAGAAAAGGCTGCACTGTCTTTGTGTAACTGAAATATATGCCATCTTTTTTTTTCTTCTTGATTCACAGTTAGCATATCATGATATGAAGATGAATATCTACAATGCAATGGCTGTCAGGGTAAATATTTCTTCACTTGTTAAACAAATGAAAAGTCAATTGTGCCTTGAATTCGTTTTTAATAAAATGAGCAAACCAGAATAATGCAAATTTGATTGATATGCTAATGGTAAAGAGAGAAAAGAGTACATAGTTAAAAAGTTAGCTATCCTAAATAATCCTGGCAGTATTAAAAATTAGAGTAAAATGTAAAACATGTAATTATCAATGCTTATGTTTTAGAATGTTAAATATCTCTGAGCCATAACTGGAGAAAGACCATAAATATTAATGAAGCAATGTATTCGTTTCCATATGTCATAGAGAATATTGTGATAAATAGATGAACGTGGTTCTGGAATTTAAGATTCCTGCCCAATACAAATCAATTAGAAATTATTCATATGATTTAACAGTAATAAAGTCAGTTTCCAGCTTAGAAGTTTTATTTCTATCATTTTTGTGTTCATTGTTATGTGTTATTTTCCTGATAGAAAGCTGAAGTTAGTGATTCTGAGGCTGGCTTGGCTTTTGCACAGATTTGAGGACTGGGATGGCAAAAGTTTTTTGGGATTTTTTTTTTTTTTGGTTTTTTTTTTTTTTGGTCTCAGACATTATGGTCATAGCTTGCTTGTGAAGCTGTTATAAATGGAGACGTTACTTAAGCGAATTTTATTAATGTCCTTAAAACCTACATTGTCTTATATTTTCTTTCATTAATCTATTCATTCTTACTTCTGGTAATAAAGGATTTTATTGGGAGTGAAAAAAGACGGTAAGAGACCTCCTGGAAGTCCTGTGTTGAACTATGGCAGGCGAATTAATGTTATTTTGATTACAGTGGGGCCTTGACTTATGAGTTTAATTCGTTCTGAGACCGAGCTCGTTAAGGAGCTCCTTAACTCAAATTACTCTATCAACTCAATGCAAAAAAATGGCCAAGAGACAGCTGGTATCTCAAAAAACTCGTTAGTCGGGACACTCGTAAGTCAAGGCCCCACTGTATTTATATTCCTGCAGGAAGGTGCGTCCCTCTCCAGGGGTGCCTGTGCTGGGAGTCTCCCCCAGGGACAGTCTCAGTATCTCTGTCCACCGCTCTGTTCTGTGGTTTCAGGGGGAAAACCAAGAGGAAGCAGTAGATCCTCTTGCTTCTTTTTCTGATCCAGAGGCAGACACCCCAGTGGCGGTGGCCTGTTGACCTTGCTTAGAATAGAGACATAGACATGCCCCCAGGTCATGAATAGGACCGTCACCTGCCATCGGAAAGAAAAAACTTCTGTTTTTTTAATTTGCTTCATATACGGAGCCAATTGCAAACTCTATCCCGACCATGGACTCCTAGCCTGACAAATAAATTACATCTATTTTCAAGGAGGCTCGGGGACCATTTCTGAAAAGAGAGGAATTTCTAAAAAAATTATTTTTAGCCTATCCATTTCTAAATAGATGTCATTCTTTATAATGAATCAATTACAGGTTGTGATTTTTAAAAAGATATATTTTTATTGATTTCAGAGAGGAAAGAAAAGGGAGAGAGAGAGAGAGAGAGAGAGAGAGAGAGAGAGAAACAGCAATGATGAGAGCAAATCATTGATTGGCTGCCTCCTGCACGCCTCCTACTGGGGATCGATCCCACAACCCGGGCATGTGGCCTGGCCCGGAATTGAACTTGGGACTCTTCAGTCCGCAGGCTGACGCTCTATCCACTGAGCCAAACCAGCTAGGGCCACATTGTGATTTTTTTATGTTGCAGTAGATATTCTTGTTCTGCTTTGCTGCATTTCATTTCCAAAGGGTCACCTTTTCTCTAAAGACTTTACGATCCCCCGACCCACGTGGAATTGATCACTCTCTCTTTTGATGTCCCTGTTTTACCATGGACACGCTTCTGTTATAGAACCTGTGACATCTTATTAGCCTTACTCATTTACATGCTGTATGCACCCCCCGCCCCCTGTAAGTCCCTTGGGGCCCCAAATCCGATCTTCTTCGTCTCTGTATCTGCAGTTCTAGGCTTATAGTCGGTGCTTACGTCGATGTCCCTTAATACATCAACCCACGCCGGCTTGCTCTTCTCTAAGCAGGGAGTAAAACAAGTCGTTTGTTTTAAATCCTTTCTGTCTCCACCCCTCTGGCCCTAGCTGGAGTCATGTTAGCCCTCGTGGGGGATCTTCAGGCTGTTTCGAACCCCTGCCTGGCTGTGTGGGGTGGGCAGCCTGGAAGTGGGGAGGTCATATTTGGTTCGTGCAGTTCTCATGTGGATGGAAGATCTCATGAGCTTTGGGGTCCTGCCAAAGCCCCCCAACACAGACAGGTCCGCGGAGCTCTCCTGTGGTATACGCACGCTGCCGGCGGAACCCGCAGGACGCCTACACGAAACTCCAGGCCAGGACAAGTCCATTAACACGACAATCAGTTGCTCAGTAAATTTTTACCTTGACTCCTGGGCCCTGTTTCTCCTGTGTCTCTGAGTGACACTCAGTGGCCTTTTTGGTCTTTGATTTGACTTTGCTCCAGATTCGGATTCTGCTTCTCCTCCGGCATCTTGGCTGCTTCATTGCGGATCTCTCTTCAGTTTGGCCCCCAACTCCCCCCCAACCCCAGCTCTCTCTGCTTGCACAGCTTTCAGTATCTTATGCGAAGGTCAGGAGGTGGTGCAGCTGCTCAGCTCATTTCGCTCCCTGTTCCATCTAGAGGGGCAATTGTGCACCTTTATGTGGCCGGGTAGAGAGTTGATCCTCCATTTCTGCTGCTGGTTAAACATGGGGTGTCACCTGAGGCACCCAAAGCACTGGGCTTAGGAAGTCCGCTTCCTAACAGCACTATGTGTGGTATTAAGATGAAGGCAAAATTACTTTGTATAGTTTTCAGGAGTATTGTGCATTCTAATTCATAAAAAAAAGTGTAATTATGAATACGTGTTCTATTTCTGTATGCTCTCATATACATTTGGAGCGTCAACATTAGGTACGTTATTAGTGAATCTGTTGTCCATGTCTTCTTTTTGAAAAAGTATCTTTTCTTATTGATTTCAGAGAGGAAGGGGGAGGGGGAGAGAGAGAGAAACATCAATGATGAGAGAGAATCACTGATAGGCTGCCTCCTGCACGCCCCCTACTGGGGATCAAGCCTGCAACCTGGGCATGTGCCCTCACCGGGAATCAAACAGTGACCTCCTGGTTCATAGGTCGACACTCAGTCACTGAGCCACACCAGCTGGGCCATGTCTTCGTTTTTAATTTTAGATGAGAAGACATGATTTTTCTGTCTTTTGATAACATTAAGGTCAGTAAGAATTTTGAGGAGTTAAACTCAATGGAGGTAGATCTTTTCTATGAGTAGATGACTTTTGATATATCAGGCTTTTTGCCATTTGTTTTAGTGCTTAAAATAAATGTTATTTATAAGCCCACTTACGTTTTGATGTTACTTAATGAGGAATATGCATCATTGATTTGACTAGCTTAAGAGGTCATTTGGAAGTTGCCCGTTAACAAGCTGTAATCTGCTGAGCTCGCAATGACTGTTTAAAATTATCTATTCAGAGCTGATCAATGACAATAATTGTTTCATACCAATCACTTCTGAAAGTTGCTGATTACTTTGAAGGACATGAAATAAAAACTCAATAAATGTTAGCTCTTGTTATTGTTAAAGAAGTATTCGAATGGCTTGATGAAGATGCAAGACATTTTGTTTAGAGGACTGATACCACTGAATTTAAAAAGCCCACGTAAAAAATTTATTTCAGCCCAGCCAGTGTGGCTCAGTGGTTGAGCATCAACCCATGAACCAGGAGGTCACAGTTCGATTCCTCATCAGGACACATGCCCAGGTTGCGGGCTTGATCCCCAGTAGGGAGCATGCAGGAGGCAGCTGATCAGTGACTCACTCTCATCATTGATGTTTCTCTCTCTCCTCCTCCTCCCATCCTTTCTCTGAAATCAATAAAAACATATTTTTTAAAAATGGATTTCAATGAGACCAAATACAATCTTCAAGTCAGTTGGTTATGTAAAACAAAAAAACTTGTTCAGTCGGGGAGTAGAATTGATAGGAATTAGTAAAGCAAATATTTAACCTTTTGGTAGCTAATTTCATACTTAGTGTTTATGAAACAATTATAAATATTTTAAAATAAATTAAATTTTGGCATTATAATATTATGTAAGCAATCTATGACTACAACCTACACTGGCACCTATACATATTGTTATGTTAATGGAAAAACTTCTGATATCATTTATATGCATTATCATCCATCATTCCCTTTATTCTGAGGAACTGTTAATGCTTTCACTAAAAATGTTCACTGGCATATTTTATCTTTCCATTCACTTCAATAGATTCAGAAGCGATGGCGAGGCTATAAGGTTCGGAAATACGGCTTCAATTATTATTATTTCAAGGAATATCTGAGGGCGATTTCAGAGACCAATGATGCAGTTAGGTGAGTAGCATAATCACTAGTCCACTAATGAAAATTGTAGACCAGTTACTCAACAGGTGTTGAGCATACCCATCCTTAGAAATAATTTCTAAAACTCAGTGATAACTTAGGCAGACATGTACTGACAAGATAGAAATGTGATTCTATTTAACTTAAAAACTTATTGTATTATATTTAAATATCCTGTACTCCTGACAGTGCATTAGATTAGATTATGCCTTGGTTCTATGCAGAATCGCTTAGTTTCAATAAAATTGTTTCATTTAAAATGAATTTATCTATATAATGATTCTGTTACCTATGAAGCCTTAAGTATGACAAGCCTCGGGTGTGTTTTCAGAAATATGTGTAATAACAAGGCTTGCCTCTCAAAGCAGAAAATAAAATACCATGGAGCATAAGGAAATGGACCACTGTACTGTCAGGTTTTTTTAAAATATACTTTTATTAATTTCAGAGAGAGGAAGGGAGAGGGAGAGAGAGAGAGAAACATCAATGATGAGAGCTAAACGTCGACTGTCTGCCTCCTGCACACCCCCTATTGGGAATGGAGCCCATAACCTAGGCATGTGCCCTTACCAGGAATCGAACCAAGACCTTCTGGTTCACAGGTTGACACTCAACCACTGAGCCACACCTGCCAAGGCCATTCATTTACTTTTTGAAACATATTACAGTGCTACTCAATATGACCATTTATTGTTACTCAACAAGGAATTTTAGGTTAAAGAGTGGTAGATTTTCCGTGTCGATACATGAAAGACGTGCGGATCCTAAAATTCGGCTGTGTGGTCAATTCACTATACAGGGGAGGTAATGTGTCGGGTGGCCTCCCTCAGTGGGCTGTCCTGATATTCCGTTTACTTTTATTATTGGAACTCAAATGAACTTCCTGATTTATCTATCATGAATCTGAGCAGTTCGGCGGGACAGAGGAAGAGGCGCAGTTCCATTAAGCGCTAACATATCATTGGCTGTCAGGTGAGCCTTGTTATGCTGTCCATCCTCATTTAACTATCCCACAAGATCTCTTAATGAAGTTAAGCCCCAAGTTCACTGCCGTAATTCTGCGGCAAGAGTTTGTGCAATGTAACAATTCATCACTTGTCAGGGAGGCACTTTTAGTTTATACGTTTAATAAGGGCATCCTCGAGCTTGGTTAATTAGAAGTGAACAGTTTGCATATTTACTAAATGCGGAGTGTCATTGCCACCACGGCCTCTTGCCTGCATGAATTATTTCTCTATCTGCCATAAACAGCTGGGTAATTATTACTGCCATAATCAGATAAATTCCCTCTGTAAGGCTTTTCTTACATGGCAGCTCTTTGAACTCATCCAAAGCCGAACAGAATTTATGAACTCCAGCAGCGAGGCCACTTTTTCATACGACCGTGTCCCCATTCCCGATTTCAAGGACACAAGTAGAGCGCCATAGTCTATTGTGAAGCCCGGCCGGTGTGGCTCAGTGGTTGAGCATCCACCCATGAACCAGGAGGTCACAGTTCGATTTCCGGTCAGGGCACATGCCCGGGTTGTGGGCTTGATCCCCAGTGGGGGGTGTGCATGAGGCAGCGGATAGATGATTCTCTCTTGTCATTGATGTTTCTCTCTCTCTCTCCCTTTCTCTCTGAAGTCAATAAAAATATATTTGAATAAAACAAACAAAGAACAGGTGTCTGGTTAATAATACCTGCCCTTACCAGCCTCAGGAGAGTGTTGTGAGGATGGGTTAATGTCTGGGGAAGGGCTTGGAGCTCCTGAAAAAATGTACAATGTGAATACTTGTTGTTATTGTGCCTATTGTTGTACTTAGCATAATGTTATGCTCAATTATTCAATATCATATATGTTATATAAAACTAGAGGCCCGGTACATGAAATTCATGCACTCTGGGGGGTGGTGTAGTCCTCAGCCAGGATTGCAAGAGGGTTCAGGCCAGGCCGAGGGACCCCACTGGTGTACAATAGGGGACGGGGAGGGATGCGGGAGGTTGGCCAGCTGGGAAGGGACTGCGAGAGGGCTCCAGGGTGTGTCTGACCCGTCTCGCTCAGTCCTGAGATCGGCTGGACCCCAGCAGCAAGCTAACCTACCAGTTGGTGTGTTTGCCTCCTGGTAGCCAGTGCACAACATAGTGAGCTGTTGAGAGGCCTTAGCATATCATTAGCATATTACGCTTTGATTGGTCGAATGGCCGTCTGGACACTTAGCATATTAGGCTTTTATTATATAGGGCTTTTACTTCCGTTTAGAGAAACTATCCAGAATAGTAAAAAGAAAATAATTTTACAGTGAAATATGTGCATATTTTCAGAAAGAATACTGAACAAAAGAATTCTCTTCAAGGAAGTTTATTCAAAAGAGCCAGAAGGAGGAAAAAAAAATGATTTTCACGAATGATCTTTTGAATGGAGTCTTATTACTTTTTAAAATCATGCAAAGTAGGCAAATGAAATAATGGAGCAATTGGACGATCAGAGGGAAGTCATGGTATGGTAATTTTATAACATGGACCATTATCATCTCTTTCATTTGTTTCATTCTCAAAATATCTAGTCCGTAGAGCACCAGTTTGCTGGCATCGCCTTGAGAGAGCCCGTCCACCCTTGGCCAGAAAGCCTCATCTCCTGCTCTAACCTGCCTGTTCCCCTCTGAACTGCATCAAAGTCCCAGCCAGACTCAGGAAGCTCTGGGTTTCGGGGGATCTTCAGAGTGGCCCCAAATTGGGACAAAGGCCCTGGGCCTATGTGTCCCCTTCTCACCAGTCATGGGATGCAGGCTGGGGGGATGCGGGGTGGGGCAGCTAGATGCCAGCACTCTTGGCAGTGAGAGGATTGGGTGGTTTGTGGTGCAGGGAGGCATAAATGTGAAAGGATGAGCTCCCCAGCCCGGCCGCCCCTTCATGTAGATCCCATGGTGACTCAGCACGTAGATCCCATGGTGACTCGGCACATAGATCCCATGCTGACTCGGTACTCATTTAACTGAGACAACCGGACAGAAATATAATTGTGCTGTTCAGTGGTTCTGCACACTCACGTAGGGCAGTGAATCAATGAGGAATGCAAGATTGCGTCTTTTCAACAATTGTATGGATTTTGAAAATTCGTGACTTTGTGTTTTGAAATTACCCCGGATTAGTTTTTCCGGCGCTTTCTCGGGTTTCTTGGATTTCTCTTGAGGGCATGCCAGTTCCTTCTGGGGGGATTGTGTGGGTTGCTAGTGTGTTTTCTTTATATCCGGGACACTGGCATTCTTTTTCCTGTCTCTCAGCTTTAGCCTCCCTGGCCGAGCTCCCCAAGCACGCACTCTTTATAGCTTGCATCTCCATAGCCTGAAGATGGACTGTTTGTGCTACGTCTCATAATTTACAGTTTTGATTTTGTGTCAGGTCCTGTGTACTTCTCTGTGTCTTACCTGTTCATGCATGTGTTCATTGTATTGGGCCTTTTTTTCTTTCTTAGGTCAGATCTCTCCATAGTCATTAAATCATTTGTAACGCACAAACTTCTTTGTAGGTATGCCTTTTGTGTGTGTGTGTGTGTGTGTGTGTGTGTGTGTGTGTGTGAGATTGCTCAGAAAATTACCGTATTTCTATTCGGAGGCAAGTAAACTGGATCCATGCATATCTGAGTAATTATCCTGGTAGTGGCAGCTCATTGGTTATTTTAAATTACCTTAAAGACTTATAAGGGGAATGATAGAAGAAATATTTCTTTTTCCCATAATAGAAAGAGTAAAGATGAAAATGAATAATCTATTCAGTTTTCTATGTCACATATGCTTGTTATTTTTTTTTCCTGGTAAAAAAATTCTCATTTATTCATAAGTAACTGCCTAGAAATGTGTACCTTAAGGACAAAGAAAGGTCACCCGTCCCTCTCACTCCTGGTTCTTTGTCAAAAATGGACACAGTTAATGAGGTTTGTTTGCTACAGAACAAACTCCCAGACACAGATAGAGATCCTTTCAATGGAAACAAATTTGTTTGGCTTCACCAGGTTACCCGGCGATTAATAACAGCCCTGAGGTACAGATCAGGCAGGGCACCGGACCCGCTGGCCGGCAAAGCTAAGCGTGCAGCCAGCCCGGCTCTGTGGGCGCGGGAGCCCCCCAAATACCGTGCATAACGGCAAACGGGCTATTTTCTGGCTCCTTCTTTCATATTAATAAGCAATTTTCAAGAGAAGGGTGGCAAAATGAGGGCCATGCCACTCCAAGTAATTCATTTATTTTGCAATTTAATCTTATGTTGAAAAAAAATTGCTCTGCTGCAGGAGTGTAGCCTGGTGATTTTTAAACGTCAGGGTGTTTCATAAGTAACCTTGTCTGAAGCATTGTGTGAGGGGCCCTTAGCAGGAACTCGCCGCAGGAACATTCCCAGGCACTGAGGGAGGAATGAGAGTCTTTTCTTCTTTGGGAATTTCCCCCTCTGCTTTCCGCCTGACACGTTTGAGGTAAAGACCCAGGGTTCACTGAGTATTTTACTGATAGGACCAGACAGGAAGTTACATATCTATTTTTTAAAAAGAATAAAGTCCAATTGCAAAACATGACCTTTATAGGAATAGTTACACTTACTCTTTTAAAATAAAGGATAGCTCTTCACAGAAGTTATTTATTTCTCCGTATTTGATAACATATTCTATTTAGGGGGTTTTTTTTATATAACATATTTTAAAACCTTATTTTTGTTTAAACATCTTAGAAGCACACACATAAATGATTTAGAAAGTTTTATTAATTTAATGGAATTTATTATACGTAGTCATGAACTCGTTCACATAATTTAGCTTTTATTCTGATTATATAATTGGACAAAATGTCAACTTTTCAAGTGCATTATAGAAGAAATAGAGGATAATATATATATTTAATGATATTCATATTATTTGAACTGTAAGTGGAAACTGTTAACAGAAATAAAGTTATAATAAATTAAGCATATGTATAAAATTAGCCCAGTTAGTATACAAGATAAATGAGTAGAGATTTCTAAATAGAAAATTAAAATTTAAAGGAACTCAGTAGATCACATCTTTTCTTGGGATATTTAAGTATGTCCAAAATAGTTCATCTTCACCCAAAGAAATTAATATAGTAATTCACTCACTTTGCATTTGATACAGTTCCTCAACGATTGGATTCATTGTAAGATACAGCTATTTGATTTTTAAAATGTAACCACTGAACAGTCGCTTTATTTTTATTTATTTCTATTTTTTCTTTTTGGAACAATCCCTCCAAATGCCTTTTAAAGGTTGCAGGGACCCAGCCAGAGCGAGCAGGAGAGACAGGGCCCCAAACCCGACTTTGATTGTCATTCGTGAGAAAATGAAACGCTAAGCGGACTGTTCGCACCCCGGGGTAAGCGCGCACTGTTTTGCTGCAGGGAGGCCCTGGACGAGTTCGCAGACATGAGAGAGAGAGAAGAGAAGAAGGCCGACCTCGAGAGGGAGGAGAAGAAGAGAGATTACGCAGCCCGAAAGATGCATTACCTGCTCAGCACAAAGCAGGTTGGTCTACCTGTCCCCTGACAGCTCGTGCGCCGCCGGGGCCCTGGCTGACAGAGACAAACTAGCAGCCTGGATGGGACATGACTGGGTGAAAGATACCACAAAGACACGACTTCCAGTTCAATTCCGTGCCGCTGGGTGGGTGCTCGCAGGCGTCCGGCTCGCCTGTGACAGCGGCTTCCTAGCAGCGGCTGCTGGGATGCAGGCGGGAAGGCCCGGGTAGCCGTGTGGTCTCATGTCAGGATCCCCCAGGGCGTAGCCTCGCTTTCCAAACCCATGGGGAGCAGCTCACTGTGGTGCTGTGAATTGACCAAGAACTGGCACGTTATTCAGCTGGCAGAGCATTCAGGTTTCTTGCACCTTTTCCAAATCCTGGTGCAAGTTTTCAGGGGCAGCTTTTTTTTTTTTTTTTAAATATATTTTATTGATTTTTTACAGAGAGGAAGGGAGAGAGATAGTGAGTTAGAAACATCGATGAGAGAGAAACATCGATCAGCTGCCTCCTGCACATCTCCTACTGGGGATGTGCCTGCAACCCAGGTACATGCCCTTGACTGGAATCGAACCTGGGACCCTTCAGTCCGCAGGCCGACGCTCTATCCACTGAGCCAAACTGGTTTCGGCAAGGGGCAGCTTTTAACAGAAGTCCTTCGACAGTTCCATCTTCGCAGAGAAAAATACGTGTGGAATTTGGAATACTTAGACATTTCTTTTCTTTTTATATATATATACTTTCATTGATTTCAGAGGGGAAGGAAGAGGGAGAGAGAGAGAAACATCAATGATGAGAGAGAACCATTAACAGGCTACCTCCTGCGCGCCCCCTACTGGGGATCGAGCCCCAAACCTGGGCACGTGCCCGGACGGGGAATCCAACTTTGACCTCCTGGTTCATAGTTTGATGCTCAACTTCTGAGCCATGCTGGCCGGGCTCCTGTCAGTTTTTACTGTCAACTCATGTAGGTATTTGAAAGGTTACTGAATAAATATGGAAGTGTAAATAATTTTTCTGAGGCATATCAGAATAAGAAATGTTTTATTAACCTGCTTAAGAGGATAATTGTAATAACATTTTAGCAAGGAGAGAAACACTATTTGATTGAAAGTAATTTAGAAATGATTTTAATCTAGTTGATAGAAAACTGTTAAACTTTCATAGTTTCAATATAGTTTAACTAAGATGAGTAGAAACAAAACATTAATTCAGACAAATAACGCTTCAGAAAAGATGGATATTTTTGTAAGCTAAAATTGTATTTGTAAATTCAGACACAGAAAATAAATGGAATCAAGTGTTATTTAATATATCGATCATTTTGGACAATTATGATGACATACTGACATACTCATATTAATAGCACAGTTTTAAAGTCAGTTTTAAGCTCATTTTCAGTACAAATCCAATGTATATTTTAGAGGTTCTAAAATCTAATTTTTACTGATATTAATTATCTCATCTTTATGCAAGCAAATATGTTAGCACAAATAGAAATTACACAACTAAATAACTAATATTACAATGAGTGAATTGATAGACCCCCTCCGGCTTTTATTAATTAAAAAGTTCAAGTCATATTAAAGCACCTTTTGTATATGTTTATTTCAATCAGAAAGCTGAATGTGGTAACTTATTTGCATAAATAATCAATCACGATTTACTAGTAGTAATAAGGTTAATTTGTTGCTACAGACATAACAGGATTAGTCAATTATATTTCCTACAAAATGCTATTTGTTATGCACCCCATCACCTGTAAAACAGGATTGGGTTTCGCACCCTTATTAAATGAACACATCAAAAAGTCTTTGTCCGTGTAAAAGTTCTATGAAAAGAAAGCTACTTTTAGTTGATTTGAATAAGTAAAATGCAGACATTGCCTCCATTTGGAAGTTTAATTTATCTTTCTGCAAAGATTGATTATTTAATAAAGTTATTTATTTTGATTCAGTAACCAGTCAAACTAAATCTAACACATACAGGACATATTCCCTTTGAAGAAAATCTCATTTGCAGATTTGTTTTATTCCAAATAAACTGACTTTCATTCCCTTGTCCTTGTTCTTGGTAATAAATTATGTTGTCTGCGCCACCTACTGGTGGACCCAGGCCAAGGCCCTTTGTTGGGCTCCTGAGAAGATGCTGCCTCTAAAATGTTGCACGAATTTTTTAAAGAGCCTCCTGGAGAGATCAGCAAAGTGGCAGATGCAAACGTGAGACTCGAGGTCAAGTCACAAAGTTAGTATTTAGAAATACAGGCCACCACACAGAATTACACACATTTGCAATGGTCCTGATTTGTGAAAATAATACCGTCTTTATTTCAATCTGCTGATAATAGAGGATAAATTAATACAAAATAGATTAATTCCGTATATTCTAACCATGCATATTTTATTTTAGTTATAGCATTTAATAGTTTATGTATATTTTAGTTAAAACTAAAATGGAAATCTATGCATTTAATTAAAATTTGTACACGTATTTTGTGGACATAATTTTCATGTTACCCCTTAATATAACAGGTTTTCAATGCTTCCCCGTTAGTGAGTAGTAGAAATTTTCATATGGACACTGAGAAAGCAATTTTCAGTATTTCTGATTCTTTAAAGGGTTAATATATTGATTAAACTTTATTTTGAATTACTTAATTTTTCTTGAGAGAAACAAATGGTTTCAGCTGCTCTTTACAAATTCCTATCACATCTATATGGAAGGAAAAATCTTAAATATAAAAGATATACTTGATATGCCCAAAATTAGTTGGTAGTCTGCTGATATGGACAGCATGTCTATAAGACAACTAGAGGTCCGGTGCATGAAATTTGTGCACTAAAGGTGGGGGGGGAGGGGTCTCTCTGCCCAGCCTAAGCCCTCTCATAGTCCAGGAGCCCTCAGGGAATATCTGACTGATGGCTTAGGCCCAATTCCTGGGGATAGCGGGCCTAAGCCGGCAGTTGGACATCCTTAGCACTGCTGCGTAGGTGGGAGAGGCTCCTGCCACCGCTGCTGCCCTTGTCAGCCATGAGCCCAGCTTCTGGCTGAGTGGCGCTGCTCCTGTGTGGAGCATCTGCCCCCTGGTGGTCAGTGTGTGTCATAGCAATGGTCGTTCCACTGTTCCGTTGATTTGCATATTAGCCTTTTATTATATAGGATTCTTGTAGGGTGGGAAAAGGTATAAGTTACGAACTATAGTACGTCTTCCAAAGCATGGATTGCTTTCAACTCAATCTTCCCAGTATTGTAAGTGGAGTGATTCCATGCCTTACATATAGTAAGAATACAATGTGTGATTGCTCATGTTTAATTTGAGGTGATAACGTCACAGAAGAACGGCAGCCTTTCCGTGTGCACCTGCCTGTGTGTGTGTGTGTGTGTGTGTGTGTGTGTGTGTGTGTGGTATATTTGGAAAGTATCTTTGGAGAGCCTTTTCATGAGAGATTTGCCTCAGGCAATGACATCTCACAGCCATGGCTGGGGACTCAGTGTGATGTTAAAACATAATGACTCTCCAGAGTATAATCTTTAGGCGTCTTGATCCTTCTCACCAAACCACATCCTTGACTTTAGAACATTCATTTGGTTCCTTCCCAGTTTGTAAGTTGGACCATTCCTCTCTCTAAGTTCAGAGGAAGTTGATTTAAAAAAAAAGAAGGAAAAGATAGATACATGGAGATCAAAAGTATTAGTTTTATTAGTAATGAAGTCTGGGTTGGAAATGTACATCTGAAACAATAATGAACTTGCTTCCAATTAAATCTACCTCTCAGGCATAGGCAGAGCAGGAAGACCAAGTCTGCCCTTGCGAATCTCAGCGCCATGTGGGAGCAAAGGATGTTTATTTCCCTGGGTCAGAAATCTATATATATATATATAAAAGCTTAATATGCTAAGTGTCCAACGGATCGGTCAACCGCTAGACCCGTCACTATGATGCGCACTGACCACCAGGGGGCAGACGCTCCAACCGGTAGGTTAGCTTGCTGCTGGGATCTGGCCGATGGAGACTGGCGAAACGGGCCAGACACACCCTGGAGCCAGCCTCCCGCGGTCCCTCCCCGGCCTCTAAGATATTTCTTCTAATTAATTTCCTTTCAATGTGCGTGAATTCGGGCACCGAGCCTCTAGTAACTAAATAAGCATGGACCCAGAAGAGGTGGCACAGCATGTGAAGGCCTTAAAGTTGTAGGTTTAACCAGGCAGAAGGAGACCTTACCCATTAAGTCAGGAATAAAGTAAGTGTAGTATGTATGGATGTACATTGGTAGGGAAGGTTGGAAGGTTGAAGTAACTAATGTTTAAGAACCTCGTCACTCTGGTTGGTCTTCTAAAATAATCCTGAGAGGAATCAGCGAAGGAGGGTCTTTAGTGGCGCTGGGGCCGGGCTGGTCTGGAGTCCACAGCATGCATTGTCCCCAGTCTGCCTGGCTGCATGACTGATGCCAGCAGGAACCAGCAGCCTGGGCTCGGAGGTGCAGAAGAAGAATAGTAACAACAGCTAACGCTTATTGAGTGCTCCCTGAGAGCCAAGTATCATCCAACTGCTTTACATGAATTGCCTCCCTTCATCCTCACATACTGCCCTGGAAGTGGACTGTTCTTATCCCCAGCGGATGGGGGAGGCACAAAGAGATGAGCCCAAGGTCAATGTTAGTGTCGGTGGTCTAGTTCCAGAGCCCACATTCACAGGGGCTCCAGGATACTACCTTTTAACACGGTGGCATTGATTCAGTACTAACTTCGTGTTAGGCACCATTCAGAGTATTAAGTCTTTATCAGCCTGTTGATTGGAAACATCAACAATCTGCCTGGCCGGCGTGGCTCCGTGGATGAGCGTCCACCCATGAACCCAGAGGTCATGGTTCGATTCCCGGTCAGGGCACATGCCTATGTTTTGGGCTCCATCCCCAGTGTGGGGCGTGCAGGAGGCGGCCGATCCATGAGTCTCTCTCATCCTTGATGTTTCTATCTCTCTCCCTCTCCCTTCCTCTCTGAAATCAAT